ATATATTTCTTAATTCATAAAAACCATATAGGCCAAATAATCGGCCAGTTTCCCTCCGAAGGTAAAAACAAACTCAAACGTAAAAACGACTGCACAGCATGGCTTCACTCGGACTTGATATTAATGTCTTTTTTCTCTTTACTTATAGATGGGGAATTTCACGCCGCCCGCTTTCGGGGGAGTAAACGCACGAAACGCAGAGCTATACAGGAGCTATACGATGGTTTCGGCGTAAAAAACAAAGAGAATAAAGGGTGCTGTCACCAATTTGTAGGGTGGGTGGGGGGCTCAAAAGAAAAACACGTAGTCCACAATAAAGTGGAACCCACCCTCCCTCCCTTTGGAGGCGCTGCTTGAAAAACAATGGCCACACAAAAACATATATTTTCGGAGACCTATAAAAAGAATACACAACTGATTGTGTAAACAGACAGTTCTTCAAACATGATTGTGCGTGTCATCCTTGCGTAAGGTTGAAACTTTAAAAAGATGGCAGTTGCATTCAACAGCCCGTTTATAAAACAAGTGGTTGAAACAGGAAGGGTTTCAAAAATAAAAAGGTTTGCATTCAAACCGCATCTTAACCAAGAGGACTCAATAGTCCAGAACCCAACCCAAGATCAACCACAACCCACATGCACATACGCAAGGAGACGCGTGGAACGCACGCAAGCGCGCGAGAGGGGTCCGCTAGAAGTTGCTCTCAACTTCTTTTTAGGGTGAGGGAAAATAAAGTTACATCAGCTCGCTGAGTCGCAACTTATTTTTCCAAAACCCAAAAACCGCGGACATCCACATGCATAGCGCACATATCATATAGATCACTCATATATTTCTTAATTCATAAAAACCATATAGGCCAAATAATCGGCCAGTTTCCCTCCGAAGGTAAAAACAAACTCAAACGTAAAAACGACTGCACAGCATGGCTTCACTCGGACTTGATATTAATGTCTTTTTTCTCTTTACTTATAGATGGGGAATTTCACGCCGCCCGCTTTCGCCACGGCCCCCACCCATGTTTCATGTAGCGCTTTCGCCTGACCATGAATTCCATACTGCCTCTGAAGGCTTCAAGGGCTTCCCCTTCAGGGATTTTTCATCTCTTCTTTCAAGAAGGGGTGATTAACTTGTCTGGAAGGATAATCTGCGAGATTTGAAGCCGAAGGAACACGGCTGTACCAAGGTAGAATGCAGTGGGCGTCCAAAAAGGTGGCCGTAAGAGCACAGATGGCTGTAACAGCCAAAGCAAAAGAATACCCCTTGATAAGGGAGAGCTTTGCACCCTCATTGTCGATGTACCCAACCAGCTGCATAGATTTCAAACGCTGATGCCAAACAAAGAAGGACATAGCAACCGCAAGGGTCTCAGTTCGCCAATCGCCGTGTCTCCGCCTTCCGGGAGGAACAGTGATATGTCGCCAGGGCTAACCCAGAGGCTCAGCCAAGAAACCACATGGCCTGACCCCTACACCAAACTGCGCCCAAACCTGCACCCTTCTGTAAATCAAAGCTAGCATCCGTAAAAATACACTGTCTCCAGTAACTTGCAAGTGAGCTGTCCTGGTGCTCCATGAAGAACACGGTCCCTCAAAAGTTTCAAAGAGTCAACCAGACTGGGTGACTGGTCAGTTTGAAAGGGCACATTGTATGCGTGCCTAGTTATGTTCTGTAGCGCAACTCGCCCAAGTCGGCCAAAGATAAGCCCATCACAGAAGGCCAAACGGCCCCTCAAAAACAAGGGCCTGTCTCTTGTCCAACTTGCCACTTTCTATGACTCCTTCCACAAAGGCTATCTCCTGGATCCTTTTCCCAGTGTTGCAAACTTCCAAAAGACCATCCTCGCAATTTGCCAAACTGAATTGCACGCCCAAAGCCTTGACAAGCAAATCGCAAGTTGTCTGTAGGCCGATGCCAAATCAAGGGCCCTTCCCAGGAGGGCAGTCGACTTTCCTTTTTCCAGCAAGCATCGCAATAAGAAGACCGCGAAGGCACATATGACATCTGGTCCGTCCACAGTGGCTTGCTCGAAGCAAGTAACAGTAGCATTTATCTGGCTCTGAGAAAGGTCGTCAATAGGCCGCATTTTTCCCGCCTGTTCAATCAGGAAACGACGGGATACAATGAAGCCCTCTTCGGGTGAATCCCAATCCAAAGGCCCCACAAGCCAGCCTCGCTCCACTTCCAAAAGTGTACGCTCCCGAAGCTTATCATCCAACTCCGCAGAACCACTACTGCGGGTCATGTACCTCAATGCAACATTCGACCTCTTGGACTGAACCGTCAAGTCCGTGGTGCTCAAAGTCGCTAGCTCCTTGTCGTCATAACCCTCATTCATATGATGCTCTTCATAAGGCATAACCGTTTGCCATCCAGAATTCGTCTCCTCTCTTCAGGTATGGCAGCTCTAAGTGCTGCCTCTTCCGACTGCAAAATTTCGACAACCGGAGCCACTCTCCCAGTTGATGCACCTGTTGTTGATTATGTAGTGTGTGTCGGACTCCGCCACACATATGCAAGCGCTCTTGACTTCCTCCGGCAACCCTGAAAACAAAGAAAAGGGGTGGCCCATCGAAACAGCTTGTTTAACGAAATCTCCTGGGGACCACCTCACGCCGAACACCAAATCACAGCAATCACCTTGACAGGTGTTCCCTTCCAACTCCAACTCGTAAACCTGACATGGGGACTCCAGCTTCCCACAGACCATAGGGGGGCTTAGATTGCCGTTGCAACCTATATCTACATCTGCCAGTGCTTGCAACGCTGGTGTCTGCTCCAGTGAAAATTTGAACAGACGGCTCTCACCCCCTTTCTTTGAAGTCTGACACCAGTTTGCTTTTGCAGGTAACATAAAAACGTTGTTGTTGAAGCTGAAGACATGAGCTGGAAGGTTGCCAATTACAATAATATGAGAAAACTCAGGTACTGTAGGCATCTGCATAGCTCTAGTGGGTTGCTTTTCCTCAGCAATTGAATGAAAATGAGACATTTTCAACTTTTTGGCATGTTGAGTGACATTGGGCAACTTGTATTCACCTGCAATTGACTCAAGGATGGCTGTAGCCAGCGCTGTGGCAAAAACTGGGTATACTCAGCCTCCAGCGCAGTATCAAAAACACCATTATTAATAGACCATGGAGCATGCTCATGTTGACCGTCACAAAGAATATTCAAAGACATCACTGCACTGCTGTTAGACGCAGGACATGTACGCTTTTGACGCTTGCCACCAAACATGCAGTTGCGCAACTCACAGTAATAGGGGTCTGTTGCTTTATGAACATCTGTCCAATAAGATGTTCCCAAAGTAAATTCGTCAATGGATTTTCCACTGTGCAGATGACGTGGGCCAACTGCAGTTGTTTGATCAGCTTCCGCATGTAGCCATAGAGACGATCTGCAGCCCTCAGTTTAATGGCATGCAAACCTTTGAGACCTGGAAGACCAGCTGGAAAACGTGATGATCTAAGTGGTGGAGGGCCATGAATACGTCTGCCAATCCTCCTGAAACGCGCCCTCGAAGCTGTGCCACATGGCACTCCAAAATGAACCCAAAGACATTTGCCCGAAAGGGCCCACCGCTCAACAAGGATCTGATGATCCTCCTTCGATAAATCCAAGCAGACTATTTTCACTCGCTGTTTGGTCACCTACGCTACACAAAGTATTGGAAAGGTAGGAGGGACCAGTAATGGGGAAACTTACGCGATACCAACGCGAAGCGCCAACAAACAACGCGCCGAAAACGCCAACACTGCAAACACCAAATGTGTGGCCATGACTGCACAAACTGACATCCAACTGAAACTGAAATCAATGAAATGTGAAGACATCACCGGTTGAAAGCACTCGCAACTTTTGTTCGGCAGGTGGTGGTGTCTCACGCATCAATCCTCTTCAAGGTGCGCTCCCATGCGCCAGAGATTATTCGTAGTGCCCAAAAGCATGCATAGTGAAATCCATCTTGCAGTGAAAATGAAAACATCACATCTGTAAATCGAAAAATTTCTCAGCAGCAATTGTTCCAGTGGTCTCCTTTTCAACCTCCCCATGCGTGAGCATAATGCCACAACCCAAGGGATGGGTCGGGCGGGACCTCAAACTGATTTTGAAGCCAGCGCTTCTCGAAATATGTAATGTTCGAAATGTCTTCCAAGAACTTGATCAATGTTGCACCCAAACTCCAATGAAACTCTTTCAGTAAAAATTCAAAGCAGCACAGCAAAATCCAGATTGTAACTGCAGAAAAATAAAAACAGTCTCAACTGTTTCTGTCGTTTCACATGAACTCCACAAGCAGCACCGAAAATAAACCACAAGGAAACTGAACTCACAAAAACGAAATGAACTGTCAACTTCACGAGGTCTGACATGAAGTGTTGTACCAGGCACCAAGGTTGTAAACTGTTGAAGGCACTGCCAACAATCAACAGGTACATCAACACAGTAACACCAACGGAATCTAGAAACCATCAACTCAGTGATCCCCACCCTCCCACCCGGCCAATACTTGGTTTCACATAGACACACTGAGCAAGCTCAGTGATGCCTACGCTACACAAAGTATTGGAAAGGTAGGAGGGACCAGTAATGGGGAAACTTACGCGATACCAACGCGAAGCGCCAACAAACAACGCGCCGAAAACGCCAACACTGCAAACACCAAATGTGTGGCCATGACTGCACAAACTGACATCCAACTGAAACTGAAATCAATGAAATGTGAAGACATCACCGGTTGAAAGCACTCGCAACTTTTGTTCGGCAGGTGGTGGTGTCTCACGCATCAATCCTCTTCAAGGTGCGCTCCCATGCGCCAGAGATTATTCGTAGTGCCCAAAAGCATGCATAGTGAAATCCATCTTGCAGTGAAAATGAAAACATCACATCTGTAAATCGAAAAATTTCTCAGCAGCAATTGTTCCAGTGGTCTCCTTTTCAACCTCCCCAACTTTAGAGGAGGCCAGTGGAGCAAGCCCCCCCTTCGCGATCCTCTCCTACCATGGAGACTTGTCAAACTTCTTACTCCCAACCTTAGGTGCCTGCTTTGCAAGTTCCCGCGCTGTTGCCCGGGCTGTTTCAAACTCCTCTCTCGTGCGTATCAGGCCTTCCAAGACCTGCAGGTCCAAACTGTCCCAACAAACATGTAAACGCAGCTTGTCGTCGAAACCCTCAAAATTTTCATTGGTGAGCTGGTCAGCCTCAGTGTTTTCATCCCTCGGCCTCCAACGTAATCCCAGGCTAAGTCGTGCCCTAGACAGTGCTGAGGACAATTGCATGTTGATCCCCATCAATGGCCATCGTGTGGTGGACCTCTTGCTCGTCAATGACTCATTGGCTTTGTTGTCGGTACCTCCCACTAGAAAGATCTCCAAAGCTTTCCTCTCTCTCGTCTCGCCAAGCCAGCCAAACATGTGTAATGCTAGCCATGATGCCAGCAACTCCGCAGATGTCGAAGCCCATTGCGCTCCAATTCCAGGCTTGAAAAGGTACGGAACTTCCGTTGGACCTAACTTGATAGAAAACCACCTCTTTGTACCAATCTCCCATCCAGCCAGTACCACAAACTCAGTTGTGCACTTTGCGTCTGTTCTGAAGCGCTCCCCTTGGAAATGCTGAGGCCTGCGCGCTGAAACCAAGAATGTCTCCCGCTTGAATTCGTTGGCAATGTATTGTAACGTCAGGATGACCGTGTCGGGAAGTCTGCAAACAGTCCCCGCTGCTGTCACCGCAGCCCATGAAAAGAGAGGTGAAAGATGTGGTTTAAGCCACACCAGCAGTTGTGCAATGAACCCAAGTCTCCCCAAGAACTCTGAAAAATCACGGGCCTGAACAACATACCTGTTGGCCATCGCACGGTCAATCCAATCGATGATCCAGGTGCCACGTTTGGTGGAAATGCCAACTTCCGTCAAATCATACCGTATCTGGAACCCCACAAACTCTGAAGCAAAACCACCCTTGAACTTGTGATATCCAAATGGGGTCCCTGCCACTTCAAAAGCCAAAAGCCAGACCCAAAGAAAAAGGAATTTGGATTCCCCAGCAAAAACCCCATGGAGGTCGTCCACGTAGATCATGTGCATCATCCAACGTTGATGAAACAAGTAACCGACAAATCTGCCGATCAGTCCAGCCAACTTCGACCACCAGTAGGGCGCACTTGATACGCCAAAGGTGCCAACCCTGTTCACCCAAATCGTGTCAGAGTTGGAATCTGCTTTGCAACACATGGAGCCCCAGTCAGACCTCCTTATTTTAACAAGCCTATGAGCTGCACGTATGTCTGCACTCACGCAAAATGGTGCCTCCTTTGTCTCAGTTGCCTCCCTGACAATTGCAGCAATCTCAGCTGGACCAGGGCATTCGATTTTATCCTGGTACAGGATGGCATGGTTCACCATCACAGAATGGGTTGCGTCATGAAGTGGACGGACACTGCCGTCTGGTTTCTGTATTGCCGCCATCGAAGCAATTCGAAGACGGTCGCCAAATTCTTCACGAAGCACTCCCATCTTGGAGGGGTGCATGCGACCCAAATCCTCTTCCTCACGGAATTTCTGCTCAAGCTCCTTCGTTGAAATCTGGGCCGAAGGATAATTTTGTGCCACTGCCATGAACTCCGTCTCATCCAGGCGCCTGTGCTTCAACTTAGGGGGACAGACTTGAGGCGACCTCGGCAGAGGCTGCTCCACCCCCAAACAAACTCCAGTTGCGAAAGAATCCTGCTCGTCAACCAACCACTTTGCATCTGGATCACCAAACTCTTGCAACCACTGTGCCAGTGCCCGTAAATGAAAGGGCTGACCCTCGTCAACCACTCTAGCCTCTTGTGGGTCAGGAAGAAGGTCAAAAATCTTCGCCCGCACCTTTGCCAGAGCCCCTTCAGAAAAAGGTGATTCAAGAAGTTTCCCAGTGACCAATTTGAAGGCCAACAACCGGAGGTCTGGCACTTCAGCCATTACGCATTGCGCCAAACAATCGAAAGTGTTGTTAGCCAACTGCACCATGTCAGGACTCCTTCTCGTGCCTCTCTGTTGAGGACGCCACCTGCATGGGCTGCACAAACCAAAACCATCAGTGAAATCCTTGCAAGTTCTGTCCCATTCCACTGAAATGGGTTTTCCCGTGTTGTGGCAAGCTCCAATGTCAAACTCCGTATCCCCTTCAACTGTAAGTTCCAAAACTGTTGATGCAGCCGTTGTTGTAACTGTCGTTGCATCCGTGGGTTCTTTCCCTGCTCCTGTTGTTGCTGTCTGAAAAGCTCCAGGGGCACTGCCTTGCTCTTCATCAGAATCTGAGGGAATAACCTGAACTTGCGCGGGAAGAGAAACCTTCGCCTTTTTATTGGGTGATTGTTCAGCAGCGTTCTCTGTTTTCACAACCCTTTTGTTACCAGTAGATTTGACCCTTCCGCCCCTTCCGGAGGATGCGCAAGCATAAAGGATCAAATCTGCAATGAACTGACAGAGGCCAGGAGGGTAGGCAGCACTAGGTGCCGTGTTCCAAGTTGAATTTGTCTTTCCAATGAGAGTCTTGGTATGATGATGGCCACATTGCTTTGGTAACGGGCCCTTGTAAAATCCAAACCTGTCGAACTTCGGCAGGGCAATGTGACAACGCTTGTCAGTAACTTCCATGTTTGTCATGAAACGCGTCGGCTTTGGAGTTGGTGCACCAAAATGGCATTGATGAATTGCAAATGAAACTGCATTGCAACAGGGAATAAGTTCTAAAACTTCAGGCCACTGCCAAATGGATCCTGGTTGTTCGCCCTCAACTGTGCCCAGGTCTTCGGGATGCTCAAGCAAAAAATAACCACCGGATTCAGCCACAAGTTGACAAGCATGAATGCATCTATCCACAAAAGAATTTGCTTCATCGACTTTTGCCCTGTGTGCCGCACTCAACCAGGGAAAACCTCGGGGCCACATCCTCGTTCTCAAAGGCTTCGGGCCAGGGTGACGTCGATTCTGAAAACAAGCCCTGCTAAATGTATTGCAAGGCGGTGACACGATCAAAACCCAATTCCCCTCTTTGAGGGTATCAAAAATCTTGTCCCACAATGCATTGTCTGTCAAGTCATGCTGTGGGGACCGCTCAATGTCAAACTCATGCAACTCAACCTGAACGCCTCCTTCAGTTTCAGCTTTCTTCAAGAATGCCGCAACATCAGAATGCCGTTTCTTCCCAGCAAAAAGGTAAACCACTTTCAAAATGGGTTTCTCAGTTTGAGACCGTGTGGGACTGCTGGGTGGGCCCACACTCTTCGGCTGTCACGACCCCTGGTTCTTGCTATGGTCAACTGCTTTGTGGGAACCATAGCAACCTTTAACACGGCATTGATGGACCCTGCCGCAAGAGCCATCACAGTCACCACTATTCCATGCGAAACAGAGCTCGCGACCATCCGGTGTCCTCCAAGCAAGGCTGAGGCCTTTCAACCGCTGGTCGAGGGGCTTGCCTTTCGACTTGCCCTTGGAGTGCTTTCCTTTCCCTTTTGTAAAACTTGAAGTCTGTTTGCCACTGAAACCTCCTTTGCTGTTGAACCGTGGCCACTTGTTAGGTTGTTGTTGAGGCTCCGACAACGCTGACCTGAGTGCCACCGGCGTGGTGAAGTACGCCTCTTTCAAGTCAGGATCCCTGATGACAGCAAGCAATGACTCACTCAATGTGTGTCCCTCCAAGACCTTTTTCATGGCCTCTTTCCTGAGCCTCTGTTCGTAGGCAAGCACTATCGACCATTCTGGCCGAACCTTCTGTTGTGACGCTTCTCCAGAAGCTGCTGGGATCTGAATTCCAAATACCCGATCCCCCAAAATATACTCAGTGAACTTCAAGAAAGGCTCCATTGTCAATCCATGCAACCAGTGTTTGGCCTTGTAACGTGAAGCCATGCACAACCAAGTATAGGCCTCGACCTTCATGGTTTTCCTGTACTCTTCGGTTGTCGCCGGCATTTTCGCCTTGGCTTTCGTCCTGGTCACTCGGATGTGCCCTGTGTTGTCAACAGCCGACTGAATAACAGAATTGCTTGAAGACTGCTTACTCAAAATCTCATCAAGGGGTGCTGCTGTAGGTTCGTTGCATTCAGTTTCCTCTGCCTTGATCGCAAGGTAGTCCGGTGAAGGACATTCTGAATCTCCTAGGACTCCATGAATCGCCTCCACAGCACGTAGCATAGCCTGCCTCTCATGGATCTGAAGAACACGTGGCTGCCCTAAAACTTTGGCTTCCGCTTTGAGTTCAACTTCTTTTGACATGTACTCCTTTGCAGTTTCCCATGCAGCTACAATTGAAGCAATCTGAGATCTACGCTCTGGGGTGTCAGCCACGATTGCAAAGTCCTGCAAACAAGATGTCCTGATGGACGCCCTGTCATCACCTAGAGCAGTGAACTTCCTGAGATTTCCATAGTGCCTGGCAATTGCAACTTGGTGTTCCAACATCACTCCCGACTCTCCAAGAATGAATTGTAAGTCAGAATCCATGTTCGTCTGAACATACTGTCTCTGTGCAACTGGGTCCATGGCTCGGTCAAGTGACCCACCCGCGCGGCGAGAGTGAAAATAAAAAAAAACACACAACAGAAATGCCCTATGCCTCAAACCTGGCGCTGGGGTCAGAAGATCTAAGGCCCTAGCCACAAAACTGGCATTGGGGTCAGGGGGACTAGAACTGGTAAATTTCCTGCTGGTTTCGGCCGGGGCCAGGAACCCCAAAAAAGCCGAGATGTTGTAAAACTCGGTTTTTTTCAAGTTAGATCCTACTCACTCAAATGAAGCTGCCTGAGCACTGTCGTGTTGAATGACTAGATGGTACCCTGAGGTCTGAACCATCAGTCACGGACAATGTCTGAACATGTGTCAATCCGCCCATGTTGTGTGCCGCGTCTAAACGCACTTTCATGACATTGGCCCCCCGTAATCGATTCTCAAATGAAAAAACATGCAACTCCAAACAACATCAGAAATAACATCCAAAGAATTGCAATGCAATCGCCAACATGCAGTGACAAAACCCGGCAACCTAAGAAGCCTCGAACGAAAGCGAAAGAAAAAGGAAAAACCGAGCACGACAGACCTCCTACCTAAGAAGCCTCGACCGAAAAAGAAAAGAAGAACCTCAACACAACGACCGACAGATAGCCAGATGTCAAAACATCCGTCCCAAATCTGCCCATGTTTTCAATCCACTCGGACTGCACTGATCACAAAGGAACTTCATCCATGTCATTTTCTGAGGCCGTGGACGTTGATGAAGCTGTCGACGAGGACTGGTCCCCATTCTCACGACCACATCCTGCAACCATTTTCTTCTTACATGCTTGGCACACTGAATCAAAATCATCAGCGGTCACTTGGTCTAAATATGAAACTTCGCAACACCTGTCAGGCTTGACAAAACATCCACTGAGATGCAAACGCCTCAAGCAGGTTCTTCGAGAGACTGTGATGAAGTACTTCGCAGAGTGGACTTCGTCTGCAGCTTCCCTGTGGGTCATGTCGGCAACCTTGGCTGCCAAGTCCGTGTCATCGCCATCTCCATCTTCATGGTCATTCCAATCCCCATCAAGAATGGTCAACGTGGGGTAGATACCTCCAAGTGACTGTCTGCCTCCCCAATCAGAGAGCACTGAATGCCTCTTCTTGATGCGATTGGGGTTCGCTCCAGCTTTCTCCGCTGCATCACACAGCCTCTGAATGGGTTCATCTTCATAGTAGACTTCTTCCAGTCCTTCAACTAGTGACCTGTTGACGGCCTTCTGGATCTTGAAGACCACCTGTCTTGATGTCCTGACATATTCCTCTGATGAAGTCATGCCCATTGACCACCGTCCCAGAAAAGCCCTCTCATCGCGAGAGAACCCAATGACTGCAGCAATCGAGGTCAAGAAATTCCTCGCACTGTGTCCTGAGAAAAATGATTCCAATCCATCTGGCAATAAAAGAATGTGGGGCATCAATTCCCATCCAATCCCAGAGCGCTTCGGACAACTGAGTGTGCTCAGCAACTTCGCAATCAAAGAACTGAGACCCGACGGTGTGACAAATTTCCGTCTCACCTTCGTCCAATCCTTGCTGGGCTCCATCACCATGTAGTCCCTGGGAAAGCTGAATTCATCTGACTCCCAGATGTTGAAACCACACCTCAACCAATCTTCTCCAGTCAAGGAAATGGTGCGAAAAATGTGCACCGCCACTTCTTTCTGAACCTTGTCTGGACCAGTCGTCTTCGACTTTCCCAAGATCAGCTTCAGACCAAAATTCGAGAGGAAGGAGCGCCTGGGAATGATCGCCTGAACATCGTCGCATCTCATGGCGCCCCAAATCATCACGAGGATCACCCATGCCAATGCCCTGGAAAAGATCGTTGCAGCTTCTTCAACAACCAAGAGCTCCAATGCGATCACCATCGCAACTGTAAACATCTCCGCTGGTTTTCTCGGCGGTGAATCCTCACTGAGCTCTGCTGTCCACGACTTGATGTGTCCCTTCCACAATGGATCATCAGAAATCCTTGCAGAGTCTGGCACCCGTCCAAGTTGCTCCAACATACCCAGAGTGATGCTCAACGACTCTGGAACTGTCCTACCACAACCGTTGTCGACCCTGTGCTGCATGTAATCGATGGCATCCTTCACAGATTGGGGAAAAAGATAACCCCGATGCATCTCCAGCCACTTCTCAAACGGCTTCCAGACCTGGTACCTGGATTTCAAGGTGTTCGCCCTCCTTGCAGCAAAGATATGAATCCAAGCAGAATTGGCATCGTCCAGAGTCTGAATGAGAGCCACAATCGGCAGCTGTGCATTGATCATCACCTGGGCCAATAACAAGGAATACTTCTTCCTTTCCGAGTCAAACTTCTTGGACCGAACGTCAGGGGCATCCTCCCTATACTTCTTCTGCTTCCGCTTCGAATGCATCTCCAAAATGCAATGAACACTTGTTTTCGTGATGCGTTGATATTCATCTTGTACATTCAAAACATCTGGAAGGGGGAGCACATGCATTGCAGATGAAACCGTTACCAACCTCACCCGCTTCAATGGCCTGCTGACTTCTGCCTTCCACTGCAGCAAAATTGCAGTAGCGTTCCGCTTTTCCTCATCGACCATATGAGGGAATGCCTCAACCAGCATCTCTTCACAGTCTGCCTCCCCATCAAATGCTGCGTCCAAACGCAAAGGAGACACAAAGACTCGCTGCAGAAAGCTGAGCAACCCTGGTTCGACAGCAGGCCATGCACTATCCATATAGGACCATGAATCTACGTCCAATCAAGATTGGAAAGTGAAACGCCCCCACCTACCTCAAACTGATTTTGAAGCCAGCGCTTCTCGAAATATGTAATGTTCGAAATGTCTTCCAAGAACTTGATCAATGTTGCACCCAAACTCCAATGAAACTCTTTCAGTAAAAATTCAAAGCAGCACAGCAAAATCCAGATTGTAACTGCAGAAAAATAAAAACAGTCTCAACTGTTTCTGTCGTTTCACATGAACTCCACAAGCAGCACCGAAAATAAACCACAAGGAAACTGAACTCACAAAAACGAAATGAACTGTCAACTTCACGAGGTCTGACATGAAGTGTTGTACCAGGCACCAAGGTTGTAAACTGTTGAAGGCACTGCCAACAATCAACAGGTACATCAACACAGTAACACCAACGGAATCTAGAAACCATCAACTCAGTGATCCCCACCCTCCCACCCGGCCAATACTTGGTTTCACATAGACACACTGAGCAAGCTCAGTGATGCTTTGTGATCAACACCAAATCTGTCTGGAAAGAGATGTTTCATTGCATAGGTCAGGTTACCTGTACCACAAAATAATTCCAAGCAGAAAAGCCAGAAGCTCCCAACTGTGGTTTCACACCATCGCCATTTGGGTCTTGTTCATTGTCCACAGTTTGAAACCTGCGTTTCTCTGCCCTTTGTGAAACTTCAGCACGTTTCCATGACTTCACTGATGCTCAGTTTGAGGGTGGCTTTTGTAGCAACCCGGAACCGCACAAACATGCTTCCTGGGACACGATGCACCCCGCTTGCAAGAGCCCAAATTGTACACAAAGCAGATTGTATCTCCTTGAAGAGTTTTGGGAGTGCATCCCTTTCAACGATTGTGGCACCGGATCGCGCCTTTTGCCTTTGCTACCTTTCTGGGCCCCTTTTGAAGACCCTTTATGAAACTTGTTTGCACCAGGTCGGCCTTTGTTGCCCGCTGGCGCGTCTGGCCTTTTCTTCTCCTTGTCCGCCTTGTCTCCGCTGCTTGCACTTGTTGCATGCGATACCGGAATTGGTAACATAAAGTAGGTCACCGTCATGTCTGAATCCATGCGCTCAAGGAAGGGGTCCAGCGGCTTGCCAGCACCTGTGTGACCCTTTGGAAAGCCAGGGGCAGGTGCCCGATAAGCTCCTGTAATGTCAAGCCCGCGAAGTTGCTGACGTTGTCTTTCCAGTCTGGCCTCGCACTCAGGCGGTGCCACGCGCTTTGGCGCTGCATCATCCCCTTTGGCAACCGATTTGAAATTGTGCATCATCAAAGTTTGGCTCTCGAAAGGAAGCCTCTTGAATGCGGCCAGCTCAGCAATTGCAGCTGCAGTACCATCTCGCATGGTATTGAGAAACCTTGTGACCTGCTCATCAGTGGCCATGACCCCTGGGCTAGTCACTGCAAAGCTAAGCTTGGCAAAAGTTACCAACTGGTTGATGCGCAACGCCTCAATCCAAGGCTGCGTCAATCCAGCATCCTTAGCCTGCTGCACAAAGGTCGCTTCCGAATCCAAAAAGGAAGAAGCCGCCATCGCTCACCAAAAACGCTCGTAGCTAACCAAGTCCAAAAGTCACATGTGGAGCATTGCATTTCTGAAAACCCAAATGGGAAGAAAGCTCAGGTGCCATGCTTTTGAATCAGAAAGGAAATCAGAAAGGCTGTTTGGCCGGCATCCGTTTTTGGGATTGTTTCATTTTTCTGAGACTGCACCTATTCTATCCAAACGTAAGGCTTATCAAAACTTACGGCCTGACTCAAACGCCAGGTTGCTCCTTTGAGCCCGCGATGCACCAAAGCTGCATTCAACTTCCGCATCCAAATTGTAAAGCTGCTATCAGCTTTTTTTTTTTGACTGCTCTCAGCCATGTTTTTGCTCTATCTCAAAACATCCCGCTTTCGGCTCAAAGATGCTTTCATCAAAAAGTGATATTATGCAGTTGCTCACAACTGACATGAGGCATGAATCCAAGATGCATGCTGACTGAAATTTCACTCACTACATGAAAAGAAAATGACAAACCTTCACAACGAGCAACAACATGAGAGGCCACCAAAGGCAGCCAGAAAAATTTTTCACTGAAGCGCTCTCGCTATCAACGTCTGGCCCTTTAGCTCTCTGCGGGTCCAACACAGAGATGAGCCCACCGACGCTAGAAATGACTTCACCTTTGAAGCACTTGCCACACCTTGCATTCAAGGAAGAACAGCCTTCCTCAAGCAGTTCAAAGTTGCTCTAAGATACCAGCCTGCCACATGCTGTGGCCCTTGTCGACCGCGAACACCTGTGCACCACATGACTGCGCTTATTCCGCCAAAAAGGTCCTGCTATATCATTCTGTGCAACCTACATGTCATCGCCGTCAGAACTATTGCTTGAGCTCGAACTGGTGGAAGGTATCTCACTCGATTCATCATCTGCGACATCATCAGCAGTTGCACCTTGAGTTTCTTATTCCAAGGGCGTCGTTGGGACGCAGGAAACATCACCATCGTCGCCAACTTCACCAGTGGCTGGTTGCAAAGGTGGTGCACCAGCTTGCCTTTCCATAGGAACTGCAGCAGTGTCGGCGATCTTCATGAGGTCAACCATGCGGCTCGTCCTGGACTCATCAGGTCTAAAGTGATCCTGTCTGATGTTTGCCAGCATGCTGCAGTAGAGTTGCAAAGGTCGGGTCAACATGTCCCGTGAATAAACTGCCATAGCTTTCGAACCCTGCAATTCATGGTGACCCAGCAAAGTGCGTGACGGTTCACCCAACCCGTAGGCACTGCACCATGCCAACATCGTGTGCTCGAAGCTATGGGAGGAAATTGCACTATCGCCACTTGTCTTCAGAAATTTGTTTGCAAAATTACCAATCTCCTCCATAGTGCAAGATCTGCGGCATAAGCTGCCATCATGCGCTGGTGCTCTGCAAATTGCACCAAAGGTTCATGGTCAACATCTATGTTCAGCTCCTTCATGGCTGCTAACCAGTACCTTGACCAGTCAACATGCGTCACTCCCAGCAACGGCTCAACCACAGGCATGTGTCGTTGCTTCTTCGCCAGGCTCGTTGCAGTTTTATGGAACTTAGTTCTGGCTTCAACAAACCCAAAAGGTTGACCATTGAACTCTGCACGCTCCACCCAAACTGATCCACAAACCTCAAGTCCGACCACCTGGACCTGGGCAGCACCGCAAAAATGATTGCACCCAACATGTAAATATCTCGCACGTCCAAATCTGAAGACATGGCCTCTTCCAGCGCAGCCAATTCATTGGCCTTGAGAGGCCTCGCAGGTTTGTAAAACGCCTTGGAGGCCAAGAGACGTTGCGCTCTGCCTCTCAACTGAGGATCTGAAATCAGGCCCTCTGGAATTGGCATGCCCATCACATACTTCGGAAAAACTGAGCGCCTCCAACAACGTTGTGCCCTTTGATGCAGGAACCCCATGTGAGCCCACTGCACCCAGATATTTCAAGCACCAAGAACGATCCCAGGTTCCCAGTCTGCTGACTGCGTTTGTATCCATGCAAAAATAGCGCAGCAGTATCTGTGCTCGCTTAACTGCAGTTCTAGGCATTTTAGCCCCAGTGCATCTCTCAAAGCATCACTCTGAGTTCCAGTCGCACCATGCGCCTGCTCTGCAAGCACGGAGAAACCAAGCGTTCCAGGAAAAACCCAAAACCTCAAAAACTTGTAGCCACTTCTGAAGAGCCTTGTCCCAGAGCAAAGTGTCTTCAGCAAAATTATCCCTATCTGGCAAAACCTTCACCGCAAATGAATAAAATGACAACACAATGTCATCCCTCACCAGCTTTGGGCGGTAGGCACATCTGCTGCACTGCCTTGCCCTGTCTGCACATCAACTGTTCCAGGTGGTATCGCAAAGTACTCAGCAGGTAACGGGGGCACAACTGTAAGAAAAACTGAATCATCATCGCTGTCAAAAGTCTGCTTCATGATACCTGTTTCCCATGGCACCTTCATGGCAGCATCACCAATGGTACTCATACGTGCTTCAACCAAAGCTTTGTTGTAATCTGCACGAGCTGCTGGAACATCATCTGAGGTCGAGGCTTTGGCAAAGGATTCCAGCCCCTGAGACGATCCTCCATTCGGTGTATGGAGCAAAGCGACAAAACTGTCAGTCTCAAGCAACTCACTCTGGCTCTGACTGTCTGTAATCATCCAGCCTCAACAAAATGTCCTGGCTATCAATGTAAATGCCGTAACATGTACAACAGACGGTCTGAAGGTCACCTCTGCTCAAAAATGCAAAACAACGCACCTCAACGAAATGGCCCGACAGTGAATGATCCCAAATGTTCCAAGTAGCCAAAAAGAAGAAATGAATGCTGATGTAGTCGTATCTGTCAGGATCCCAAGGCAACTGTATCATACCCCCATTGCAGCTCAAAAGAAAAACACGTAGTCCACAATAAAGTGGAACCCACCCTCCCTCCCTTTGGAGGCGCTGCTTGAAAAACAATGGCCACACGAAAACATATATTTTCGGAGACCTATAAAAAGAATACACAACTGATTGTGTAAACAGACAGTTCTTCAAACATGATTGTGCGTGTCATCCTTGCGTAAGGTTGAAACTTTAAAAAGATGGCAGTTGCATTCAACAGCCCGTTTATAAAACAAGTGGTTGAGACAGGAAGGGTTTCAAAAATAAAAAGGTTTGCATTCAAACCGCATCTTAACCAAGAGGACTCAATAGTCCAGAACCCAACCCAAGATCAACCACAACCCAAATGCACATACGCAAGGAGACGCGTGGAACGCACGCAAGCGCGCGAGAGGAGTCCGCTAGAAGTTGCTCTCAACTTCTTTTTAGGGTGAGGGAAAATAAAGTTACATCAGCTCGCTGAGTCGCAACATATCATTGCATATATATATATACATACATTTTGGCTCTCAAGAAAGTAGAATTGTTGACACTCAGTATGTGTGTTGCGCACCAACAGCACCATATTCATGTGCTGGCTGTGGTACTAAGTGTGAGGCTGTGTTTATGAGAAACAAAACAAAAACAAGAAAATCACTGAATACCAAACAAATGGTTCAATACCAAGTCATCTGGCATGTGTACTTTTTTTTAGATTCAAGCAGTCCACAGCAAAGCCATGCAGTGCAGAGCCGGTGGTTTCGTGCATACACAAATGCCTCCGCTGCAGCGTGAGAAAACAAAGAATGGTTCCTGGGCTGATGGTCTTGGCGGGTCTATGCATGTGAAATGTTATCACAAAATACTCTAAGTATGGGAGGTACCCCAAGTTTTGAAATCATGTGCCCAAAAAAAACTGACTTCACAAGATCAAAAAAATGCTCACTGTTGCTGAGTTTTCATGGTTTGCAATTATTGTAAAACCATGTTTTGACCAAAAAATCACCTTTGAAATTGAAAAGTCAAAAACAAAATTGGGCAGCGTTCCCCCCTCCTTATTGATCGGGATTTTGGACAAATTGTGGAAACACAAAATGGCACATGGCTTTTTTGTGGAAGCACAAAATGGCACATGGCCTTTTTGTGTAAACACAAAATGGCAAGGGGTTGATCATTGCCATTTTGTGGAAACACAAATTGTCATAGTGACATTTTGTGGAAACACAAAATGTCACTATGACATTTTGTGTTTCCACAAATTGGCATAAACATAATATATTATCATGATTGCTCACTTGCTCCGCTGGCAGGACATTTCTACTTCATCGACTTCTTCGAAGGTTCGGATCAGACTTGGATCTTTGGGCTGAAATCCAATGACTTGGAATCTTCATGGCAACAGTTTCAACCAAGTTTGGATAGTGTTTTCCATCGTGGCACAAGAGTACATACATGATGCTGTCCAACTTTCACCTTTGTAGTTCTGATCTCGTTCACAAGTACGCCACGCGTGGCCATGGCTCGCGTGGCCAGTGGTGCGGGCTGGCTCGCTCACTGACATGATATCTGTGTGCTTCTCCGCTTGCATTTCCATCAAACATAGGCCAGAATCGCGTTCATCAACATGACTTTGCAAATTATTTTTTTTAAGCATATGCAAGAACATTTGTGAAGCATGCAACATGCATGAGTTCACTTTGGGTCTATAAAATAGTATTGCATTGGTTTGTTCATCTCTGACCTCGGCATGGATGCGGATCGTGGTGCCTCGGAGTCCCATGGAAGTGATCATGATGCTGAAGAGGATGCCAGGGTGGCTATAGCTCAAGTCCACCGAGTGACCGTTGGCAACAATGCCTGGTACCCAGACATCCAAACTGCTGACAATCGTGTCTTCTTCAAGATTGACAAGCATGATCGGGAGCTCACCAAAATTACCCTTGGAAAGGGTGTCAACCGACACAAGAACAAGGGTGAGATCAGAACACTGAGCAAGTTGCAATGGTGGGCAGACATGCATGCCTTGAGGAAACAAGCCTGCGACTCAGCCATTCATGATGTGTTGCGGGCTGCCATGACGGAGAATGGAGACGAAGTGCCTGCCAACTTTCGGTTTCGAGACGCCAGGGATGATGACAAGTGGCTTGTCCGTAAAGAGGTAGTGGAGCTTCATTGTCCAGCCCTGGAGGACTATCCAGCCACGGTCATCATGGCTTTGTGGCAGATTCGTGGTCCGCTCTTTCTGGAGCTCACAGAGGAGTGCGTCAAGTACTGTGTGGCTGCCATCAGGCAGTCACCAGATGCTGTGCCATGTTCTCCCAAGCGGAAACGCAAGAAGAAGCTTCGCCGCAGTGCCAGCACTCCACGAAAAGCGGAACATGGACCGGCACGTCCCATGGAATCCGAGCCTGCAGCACCAGAAGCTCCAGGTGCAGACTGAGCTGCTCATGGGATGAGACGTGCACATGGGTATCTACATTGCGAGGGGTATAGACGCCCTCACACCTGTGCAGCAAGCATGCATGGGCATCCGAGCGCGCTGACAAAAGGCATAACATTGGAAGCATGGGAGGGAACATGTGGATGAGTCAACCATTACACATGTGTTGTTGCCTTGCCAAACGCAAATGGATTCTGGCAGCTGTAGACATGCTTATAACAAGTTGGGAGGGTATACATGATGGTATGTCATATTTTATATATTCCACATGTTTTGTCGTTGTTGCTTGTCGTCAAAGCTTGCAGTGGCAGAAATTGCTGGGCGAAGTCCAGGGCCTTCATGACTTTGTGGAAGCGCAGAAGACGATCATGGACAAGCCAAACCTCGAGAAGCTGATGCAGGCACACGTGGACCAGATCTCTGCCCGGTCTTCTGTGAGCTGCTCAGCCGAGGACGCCAAATTGTTCACCTCCCTGGTGAGCAAGGGCCCATGGACTGAGGCTCAGAAGCAGCGGCTGGCCGAATGGTGCAGCAAAATGCTGCTGGAGAGCAGCCCAACGGCCAGAAAGGGCAACAGCCGCCGGCCGGGCCAAGTAGCCACCAGCTTTGCCCAATACTTCAGTGGCAAGGACGTGGACATCCTGGGTAGTGATGCCACCCTGGCATTGAAGGTGGATTGCATCACCACACGCATGAAGAGGGTAGGCCTGCATTTGCCCACCGAACAGAGCTGGAGACCAATCATGCAAGCAGCCCAGGTCGCAGGCATGGATGTGGGCAACGAGAAGAATCAAGTGGATCTCATCAAAGACTTGAAGGCGGCCCTGCACAAGAAGAAGGACCTTGTTGAAACCCACTTGGTTGAGTTCCCTTCACGACCTCAAGAGCTTGCATGGTTTGCTGCAGCATATGATGAGGCTGAACAGCTCTTACCCATTGGCAACATTGCAAGCCAACTGCACAGTTGATGGATCAAGTGTGAGCAAGAACGCGTTGATGCAACTTATAAGATGTGATAAACAAGAACTCATTGCTGCCATATAGAAGGTTTGCTTTCATTGTGTCATGATATTCACATTGGTGCTTGGATGGATTTTGATCGAGCCTGAGAAGGCTAGATTTCTATATAGTTAACAAGCTTTGTCACAACATTGCAACTGTTGCAAATATAATTGCATGCACGTAGCACTTGTACATTCATTCGAACCTTCTGCTGCCCTTATATAGGGTTTTGTTTTCTCTGCCTCCCTTTATAGGGTTGTTTTTTTTTCTGGTGCCCTTTATAGGGCTTTTTTTTTCTGGTGCCCTTTATAGGGCTTTTTTCCCGAGAGCGCCTGCGAAGGGTTCTTCGTAAAAAAGCAGCCGTTATACTAGATCTTCACTCCTTCACATCTGCTGATCTAGATCTTCACTCCTTCACATCTGCTGATCTAGATCTTCACTCCTTCACATCTGCGGATCTAGATCTTCACTCCTTCACATCTGCTGATCTAGATCTTCACTCCCCTCACACCTGCAGATCTAGATCTTCACACCCTCACACCTGCAGATCTAGATCTTCACACCTTCACATCTGCAGATCTAGATCTTCACACTCACATCTGCAGATCTAGATCTTCACACCCTCACATCTGCAGATCTAGATCTTCACCTTCACACCTGCAGATCTAGATCTTCACACCCTCACACCTGCAGATCTAGATCTTCACACCCTCACATCTGCAGATCTAGATCTTCACACCCTCACACCTGCAGATCTAGATCTTCACACCTTCAACACCTGACAGATCATAGATCTTCACACGCTCAACACCTGCAGATCTAGATCTTCACACCCCTCACACCTGCAGATCTAGATCTTTCAGCACCTCACCCTGCAGTTCTACATTCTTTCAACATCCTGACACACTGCAGATCTAGATCTTCACACCTTCACATCTGGCAGATCTACATTTACACCTTCACACCTGCAGAATCTTAGATCTTCAACCTGCCTCAACCTTGCAGATCTAGATCTTCACACCCTCACACCTGCAGATCTAGATCTTCACACCCTCACACCTGCAGATCTAGATCTTCACACCCTCACACCTGCAGATCTAGATCTTCACATCTTCACATCTGCAGATCTCCTCTCGCTCTTCTTCTATTCTCTCTTAAAGGCGGGGGCGGTGCCGCCGGAGCGCCACGAAACGCAACCCTTTCGCACGAAATGGACGTTGGACGTCCAAAACCTAGGTAAAATTGCGATTTTGAAGCGTCGCGCGCAACCCTTTCGCACGAAATGGACGTTGGACGCCAAAAACTGAGGTAAAATTGCGATTTTACTTTGTCCATCGCAACCCTTTCGCACGAAATGGACGTTGGGCGTCAAAAACTGAAGAAAAATTGCAACTTTGAGGTGTCGCGCGCAACCCTTTCGCACGAAATGGACGTTGGACGTCAAAAACTGAGGAAAAGTTGCGACTTTGAGGTGTCCCGCGCAACCCTTTCGCACGAAATGGACGTTGGACGTCAAAAACTGAGGAAAAGTTGCGACTTTGAGTTGTCAATCGCAACCCTTACGCACGAAATGGACGTTGGACGTCAAAAACTGAGGAAAAATTGCGACTTTGGTTTGTCAATCGCAACCCTTACGCACGAAATGGACGTTGGACGTTAAAAACTGAGGAAAAATTGCGACTTTACTTTGTCAATCGCAACCCTTACACACGAAATGGACGTTGGACGTCAAAAACTGAGGAAAAATTGCGATTTTACCGTGTGTAAAAGCTTCTGTGTGTAAAAGCGTCTGTGTGTAAAGGAGTCTGTGTGTAAAAGCTTCTGTGTGTAAAAGCGTCTGTGTGTAAAAGCGTCTGTGTGTAAGAGTCTCTGTGTGTAAAAGTGTTTGTGTGTAAAAGTGTTTGTGTGTAAAAGTGTTTGTGTGTAGAAGCTTCTGTGTGTAAAAGCTTCTGTGTGTAAAAGCGTCTGTGTGTAAAAGCGTCTGTGTGTAAAAGCGCCTGTGTGTAAAAGCTTCTGTGTGTAAAAGCCTCTGTGTGTGAAAGTGTTGTGTGTAAAAAGTTCTGTGTGTAAAAGCTTCTGTGTGTAAAAGCGCCTGTGTGTAAAAGCTTCTGAGTGTAAAAGCCTCTGTGTGTAAAGGAGTCTGTGTGTAAAAGCTTCTGTGTGTAAAAGCGTCTGTGTGTAAAAGCGTCTGTGTGTAAAAGCCTCTGTGTAAAAGCCTCTGTGTAAAAGCGTCTGTGTGTGAAAGTTTTGTTTTTGTGTAAAATCTTCTGTGTGTAAAAGCTTCTGTGTGTAAAAGCGTCTGTGTGTAAAAGTCTCTGTGTGTAAAAGCGTTTGTGTGTAAAAGCGTTTGTGTGTAAAAGCGTCTGTGTGTAAAAGCGTCTGTGTGTAAAAGTCGTCTGTATGTAAAAGGGTCTCTGTGTAAAAGCGTCTGTGTGTAAAAGCGTCTGTGTGTAAAAGCGTCTGTGTGTAAAAGCGTCTGTGTGTAAAAGCTTCTGTGTGTAAAAGCCTCTGTGTGTGAAAGTGTTTGTGTGTAAAAGCGTCTGTGTGTAAAAGCGTCTGTGTGTAAAAGCGTCTGTGTGTAAAAGCGTCTGTGTGTAAAAGTGTCTGTGTGTCAAAGCGGCTGTGTGTGAAAGTGTCTGTATGTAAAAGCGACTGTGTGTAAAAGCGTCTGTGTGTAAAAGTGTTTGTGTGTAAGTGTGTTTGTGTGTAAAAGCGTCTGTGTCTAAAAGCTTCTGTGTGTAAAAGCGTCTGTGTGTAAAAGCTTCTGTGTGTAAAAGTGTCTGTGTGTCAAAGCGGCTGTGTGTGAAAGCGTCTGTGTGTAAAAGCGTCTGTGTGTAAAAGCGCCTGTGTGTAAAAGTCTCTGTGTGCAAAAGCATCTGTGTGTAAAAGCGTCTGTGTGTAAAAGAGTCTGTATGTAAAAGGGTCTGTGTGTAAAGTGTCTGTGTGTAAAAGGGTCTGTGTGTAAAGCGTCTGTGTGTAAAAGTGTTTGTGTGTAAAAGCTTCTGCGTGTAAAAGCTTCTGAGTGTAAAAGCCTCTGTGTGTAAAAGCGTCTGTGTGTAAAAGCGTCTGAATGTAAAAGCGTCTGTGTGTAAAAGCGTCTGTGTGTAAAGCGTCTGTGTGTAAAAGTGTTTGTGTGTAAAAGCTTCTGCGTGTAAAAGCGTCTGTGTGTAAAAGCGTCTGTGTGTAAAAGCGTCTGAATGTAAAAGCGTCTGTGTGTAAAAGCGTCTGTGTGTAAAAGCGTCTGCGTGTAAAAGTCTCTGTGTGTAAAAGCTTCTGTGTGTAAAAGCGTCTGCGTGTAAAAGTCTCTGTGTGTAAAAGCCTCTGTGTGTAAAAGCGTTTGTGTGTAAAAGCGTCTGTGTGTAAAAGCGTCTGTGTGTAAAATCGTCTGTATGTAAAAGGGTCTCTGTGTAAAAGCGTCTGTGTGTAAAAGCGTTTGTGTGTAAAAGTCTCTGTCTGTAGAAGCGTCTGTGTGTAAAAGCTCCTGTGTGTAAGAGTGTTTGTGTGTAAAAGTGTTTGTGTGTAAAAGTGTTTGTGTGGAAAAGGGTTTGTATGTAAAAGCGTCTGTGTGTAAAAGCTTCTGTGTGTAAAAGTCTCTGTGTGTAAAAGTGTTTGTGTGTAAAAGTGTTTGTGTGTAAAAGCGTCTGTGTGTAAAAGCGTCTGTGTGTAAAAGCGTCTGTGTGTAAAAACGTCTGTGTGTAAAAGTCTCTGTGTGTAAAAGCGTCTGTGTGTAAAAGCGTCTGTGTGTAAAAATATTTGTGTGTAAAAGTGTTGGTGTGTAAAAGTGTCTGTGTGTAAAAGCGTCTGTGTGTAAACGTGTTTGTGTGTAAAAGTCTCTGTGTGTATGTGTAAAAGCGTCTGTGTGTAAAAGCTCTGTGTGTAAAAGCGTCCGTGTGTAAAAGCCTCTGTGTGTATAATAAAAGCGTCTGTCTGTAAACAGTTCTGTGTGTAAAAGCGTCTGTCTGCAACTTTACGAAAGATACGATGCAAACTATTGTCTTGTACTTGTAATATATTGTTTTGAAACTACTCTTCTCGTCTGCCTATAGTACATCTTCAATATATTGTCTTGTAATTTAGTGTCTCCATACTAGCAACAGAAGACTTTGCTCGTCTACGCTCTCGGGCCATCCGTCGTCTAGTTTTCTTCATGGCGTTGGACATCGCGTCTCTGGGTAGACGGTCGTTCATCAGCCAGAGTGCTTTGGCCGAAGTTCTGACGGCAGTTCGAGAGAGCGGCGAGCTCCCTCAGACTTGCAGCAAGTCGACTGTGAAGCGTCGCCGTGAGGAGGCTGCTCAAGTCGAGACTCCTTACGGCCCGCTCATTCAGTTCTTGGAGGCTGAGAGCGAGGATGGGACGTTTAAGAAGATCCCCTACGCCCATCCTGGTGCCTTTATGCACCATGCCAGTGGCACTTGTCCTGGCTTTCGAAGACTGCTGGATCTAGCGGCTGCGACAAATCCAGCAAACTCGATGCTGTCCCCATGGCACCTTGCTATATACTTTGACGAAGTCGGTCCGGGCAACCAACTTAAGATTCACAATAAGAGGAAGCTGTGGGCCGTTTATTATTCTCTAAAGCAATTTGGGGGGTACGAACTGACTCAAGAACACTCTTGGATGGTTCTCATGTGCATTCGAAGCGACATCGTTAACGGGCTCAAAGGTGGCCTCTCGCACTTGTTCCTTCGTTGCCTCCAGATATTCCAGCGCTTAGAGACTGGAATCACTCTCCAATTTAACGATTGTATCAAGGTTTGTTGCTTTAAAATTGGTATCCTCATCGCCGATGAACAAGCGATTAAACTCTGCTTGGAGTGCAAGGGTGCAAGTGGCAAGATGTGCTGCTTCCGGTGCCAGACCACGGTCCAGGCACGGTACGCTCCCACTCCCATTGGACGCTTGATTTTGCACACGGAGCATGACGTCAGCAAGCTTGTGCTCCACTCTGATCGGTCAGTCTGGCAAATTGTAGACCACTTGGCTACACAAGCGGGACATGGCACAAAGAAGGCCTTTTCCGAACTTGAGGTGCGCTTGGGGTGGAATCATGTGCCGAACGGGGTGTTGCTTGATCAAGATATGAGGGCCCATTTCAAGCCGATCTCTCATGTGAGCTACGATTGGATGCATGTGTACTTGGTGGCTGGCATTTTCCACAAAGAAATTTCTGCGCTCTTGGATTTGATGTCCAAACATGGGATCAGGCAATCTGCTTTGCATGATTGGTGCAGTCACTTTGTTTGGCCGCACCTTCATGGTGGTCAGGGTTGTTCGGCCAAGGATGTATTTCGGAAGAAACGCGACAGTGACTCTGAGTTCAAATGCGCATCCAGTGAGGCGTTGGGCATCTATCCTGTGATTCGTTCATTTTTCCAAAACATGAATATGGAAAACATTGGCCATGACATGCGACTCGGTATCAACTCCTTCTACTGCTTGTGCGAAGTCTTGGACAGCCTCAAGCATGCTGCCACGGGGTCGATTGCCGTTGCCGCATTCCAGAGTAAGATCGAAGCTCATCTCATTGCATTCAAAGTTCCTTGAACGCATTGCCATCTATAGGACGCATGTGACACGTATATATATATTGATGTTGTTGTTGTCAACTCATGGTTGCATGTGATATTTTCTTGGTCCACTGATGGTGCTGTTACTTGTTAGTTCCATGCATGGGGAATGTTGGTATATCTATATAACAAAATGTCATTTGCCCACTTGCATTTGCCCACTTGCACGTGTGACCTTCACTTTCAGGCTATTTATGGCACCGACTCCTATGTGCCGAAGCATCATTTTTCAGTGCACCTTCCATCACTGATGGAACTCCATGGCATGTTGATCAGTTGTTTTGTGCATGAGCGCCGGCATAAGATTACAAAGAGGTCTCTTGACATTTGCTTTGGTTGTTCAGAGCTGGGTGCAAGTTGTACTATGTTTCACACTCATTGGTTCATGGTGCTAGAGGAGTATAAAAGCATTGCCAAGACGGTCTTTGATTTTGTCCCATGGTTCGTATTCCTTTGGTTGCCCAGGTTCGCAAATATGCAGCACAGCGGGCATGAGTCCATGGACCGGAGTGTTCTCCGAGAAGTCGTCACAACTCACATTTTCGACCTGCAAACAGACGAAGATGACTCCGCATGGAAACCAGCAAAGCCTAACCTGGTAGAAGCCTGGAAGAATCACCTTGGCCTTCCTTTCTTGACTCATGCATTGCTTGTTGCAGCGACCAGCAACCGCTGCCACATGGATGACATGGTTGCTGTTACAGAGCCTAGGTGCATAGCACAAGTGCTGTTCCACATTCGATATGGTGAGACTCGTGTCACTTTGGTGAAATGCTTTGAAAAAACGGGTAAGAACACATTTAAGATGAATCCTCATGACAATGAACTATTTGTGAGCACCAGTTGCCTGCAAGGTGCAGTTGTATACAAACGCCTTGATGCTGAAAGCATCCTTGTTGCTCCGCAGAGTTTCTACACAGCGTAGATTTAATCACACGCAACTGCTCTTCAAGCTGACTTCATGAGAAGTCATTATATATGTATCAGAACGCCATTGTTTTTCATGTCCGGAAGTTGGACAAAACCATGTTTTGTTTTTGGAAACTTGGATTGATTGAAGCCACATAATTTCTGATGTCATGCCACAATGCTATAGCCAAATCAGCATGTGCGATTTGGATCTCATCCGCAGGGTCCATTCTTGGTGCTGGCACTCCTGGATAGATAAAAAGAGACCGTTGTCAGCCTTCATTTTGGTGCAGTGTGAACTTCATCCATGATCCATATAGATATTTTTCAGATATTCACATAGTACCTATATATATATATCTGCACCTATTGTTATAGCATGACTATGTGTTTGTGTGCATGTTGAGATGCATTCTTGCCATTAATCCAAAACACCAATCAACTATTCAGCAGTGCTGGTCTATATAAGTACTTGAGCAAGTTCTACAAGAAATTGTGTTGGTTCACCGAATGCTACTATTTCACGAAAGGTGTTGAAAACATACAAGAGGCTGTATAATGTTGGATCCACATGCAGTCGTTCCCATGCAAGCAATCATGACCCATGGCTTGACTTGATCCGAACATATGCGCTGACCTATAGCTCTCGGTATCTCAGCATCCACTTGCTCAAAGTAGGGTTTGTGTTTCGTTGCCATGTCTGCGCGTGACATGCTGATAGAGTTGCAGGCGACCAGCATCGAAATTGCTGCCCAGCTTGCAGCTAGCCACGCCCTGTTGATCAAAATGCAAAAGAACCTGCAGGAGTTGAAAGATTTGCTTGATCCACCACCTCCAGTCTCAAAGAGAGATCCGCCCGAAGCTGTCGAGACAGAAGATGAGCGAGAGCACAAGCGGCTGAAGGCCGTTTATCAGCGCAGGGGTGGCACGACGACGTTGCCCTTGGGGCCAGCATGGGGGGAACTCCCCCCCACGATCCCTGCTGATGATGCTGTCGCACTGGGGGTAAAGGTGGAAGAAGAGGTGGATGAGGCAACAGCGCCAACTTTGATGACATGACCTTAATATGGGTTGGCCACGCCTTTGAACAGTTTTTGTACAGGATGCAGCCGTGATCATGCAGGCATCTGGAAAATCATGCATGCTGTTGTTTTGTATGATTGCATGGCATGAACCCACCAGCGAGTAAACCCGCATGGTGCACCCAGCGAGCAGTCCCCGCATGGATGTCCCCGCATTCATTTCATGATGCATGTGTTGTGCAATGCTTCCCGTTATACGTGCAGGTATGGGATGCCAGATGCCAGTGCAACTTCAACTTCATCCACTCTAACAAGGTGCCATGGGAGCAATGGGTTGTTCAAATTAAAAGATGTCACTGTCACTTACACAAGCAAAAGATGTTGTATGTTGTGAAACTTGATAGAGTCAATCAACATGATCATATATATATATTATATATATATATATCAAGTATGTTTTTATATATACTCAACATATCTCTGTATAGGTTGCTTTTGTCTTGGTTTCTGCTTGAATATATATATATATGAGTTTCATGTCATGCATGCAGAACTTAGCACATACATACATGCATGCATGCATACATACATTCATGCATACATACATACATGCATGCATGCATGCATGCATGCATACATACATTCATACATACATACATACATTGACACATACATACATACATATTTGCATGCATGCATACATACATACATACATGCATACATACATAGATACACAGACATACATACATACATACATACATACATACATACATACATACATTTCATCTACAAGTGTATGAATACATCAAGTCATGTGTGATTTCCAGTGGGTGTCAACAAGGGTCCTCATGACTGTAAGTTTTTTTTGGGTGCTCAAACTCGCTTGCCGTGCTTGAAGCGATGACATCCTCCGTGCCCATTGGTGAGATTTCATGGTTGCAGAGCTTTGTCAGCGACGACTTCGGCCAGCTAAGTGACATCGTTTGCTGCAAGTACATGCACGTCGGCTCGCGGAGGGCTCACGAATGGATCTTCTTTTCTGAGAACATGACAGTGGGATTTCTTCGCCGAACCCGCAAGTGTCTTATCATTGCTCAGGATTTTTGCTTTGTTTTCTTTTCAAATTTAGGGGTTATATAGTGTTAACTCATGCATGGTGGTTGTGTCTTGCTTTGCCTTTTTTTGGTTGTACTCTTAGGTCTCACAAGATGGTCTTCGGCTCATGCGGCATGTGGACTCACGTTGCAGATGCTGCAGGTGGTTCCTCCATTTGTCTCCGGGGCTTTGGCTGCGAACCTGGTGTCCGGTTATGGAACCTCGACTTCCGGTATGAAGGCGCTGCGCCTTGGTTGCTTCATCATATATATATTTATTTATTTATCTATTTACATATTATATCTATCTATCTATCTATCTATCTACCTAACTATCTATCTATATCTATATCTATATCTATATCTATTATCTATCTATCTATCTATCTATCTAAATAAATATATATATGTGTTTATTTGTATCTATATATTTTTTCCAGAACACGGGCTGTGGCAGACTTGATATAGTTGTTTGTCATTGTTGGCATGCATTTTCATGCGCAAAAGTGCTGTTTAAGCTATGCATGTTTGTGATTTTTTGCCCGGATCTAAGGGCATCTTCGTGAGCGAGTTGAAGGGCACTCAGCGGATGTTCACCGTGCTCCACTGCCCTACGAAGTTTCTGACCAAGTTCGATCCTTCCCCAGTGCCGTCGACCTGGCTGGCGATCGAGGACGTGAAGGAGCCTGCTCATGAGGTCCCGGAGGATGCCGTCGCAGGCGGACAAGATGGGCCCTTGGCAGGTGGTGACACCGCAGGCTTTGAGCGCCTTGAATGGTTCTGACTTTGAACCTTGAAAGGTTCTGGAATGGTTCTGACTTTGAACCTTGAATGGTTCTGACTTTGAACCTTGAAGGGTTCTGACTTGAACCTTGTTCTGATTTGAACCTTTGTTGGCACAGCGCCATTTCTAGAGCGATGTCTCTGGACGCATCAAGATCCCAAAAGGGAATCACCGGAATATAGCGAAAAAGGAGCATCTGTGCGTCTTGTTGTAAATGACCATGCAACCATGTAAAAAGGATTGGTTATATATATATACATATATATATACATATATATATATATACATATATATATACATATATATATATACATATATATATATGGGTTTGGGGTGTATGTGTGTGTGTTTATTTAATATGCATATAAAGATATATATCATATTCAGTAAGGGTCCTTGATAATGTCACAACCTTGACCCAGAACCAATTTATTTAGGAGATTATAACGTTTCTAGGTTTCTGAGCTGCATATACAACCACACCCCTTTGTTGCCCATTGTCCCTCCTGTCAGGTGCTTCATCGTGTCCATCGACGTTGTTGCAACTTTTCTCTTGGGATCGTGGTGTTGTTGTTGCTGTTGTTGCTGTTGGGTTTGTATGGATGGATATTTCACATAGTGTTACATATACATGTTGCCCTTGTTATAATGATACATGTTTGGTTTGCATCCATGCATGTGGATATATGACATGTGGATATGTTGGTTGGTAAATACATGTGCAAAACATGTAGTGTTGATCAACCCATTGATGGCATTTATATTGCATCGTTTTATGACTTGATTCACTTATGGCATGATTATGAACCCAAAATTTTAGGGAGGGGGGTGTTGTGAGCGCCAAAATTTGTCATGCAAGCTGCCCTTTTTATACAGCACATCATGTTTGCTGCCTGCAGAGCATGAGACATAGATGTTAGTGAAGGCACCAAGATATAACATGACTAAGGATTAATCTGGATTAATCCTAAACTGACTAGTTCTTGAAGTGATCTTAATTAGGAAGTTGGTTTGATTTTGACACGCATTGCTTTCAACAAAGTCAGCTAAGACTTTACAAAATTGTGTGATATACAATGCCAAGTTTTACTTGGGACGCATGGAACGAGACTTTGCATTCTTCCTAGATGACAAGATAGATGACAAGGGCTGAGCATATTGGTTATGGAAGAGAATTGCTTCCTCCACCCAAAATTTGTGAGAATGCGGGCGCAGACTATTGAGAAAGAAATTCAATGGTCGAATCCAGGCATTGAAGGTCTCAGACATGTTGGTGCGGACATTCTTGGCACGTTTCTTTTCCTTGGGGGTCCAAGTTGATTTGGAGCAACGATGGTTTTTCATGTGGAAGCAATCAACCATGTAGTACTTGATGTTCTCAAAGCCTTCACACTCATACTTCTTGACATAACTTTCGAAGTGGCATGCATCATCATGGAGCAAGAGGTCAGCAGAAACCAAGGGCATAGAGAGCACCTGCTGAAGGAGGTCAACCTTATCTTCATTCCGCTCATTGATACGATGTTCATAGGCACCTAGCACTTTCCCAGTGCAAGGGTCCACAGCAAACTGCCAACCAGCAGTGCGATCGGGTAGAACTTGTCGAACGGAATCCTTCTTTGCACAGTGACAGGAACGGTCATGCTCATAGAGCAACTTCATGGGCCGTCCTTTGAGAGGAACTTGTCGAGGTGACTCCACAGGTGTCAACAAAGCTCGATGGACTCCAAAGTGACCATCAAAGCTAACAGAAGTCACAGGCACAGATGGAGGATTTTGATCACAGTCTTGGCCGGAAAGTCAAGGTTGAATTCAACAACCTTATCTGGCTGGCGCTTGGCCACTGCGTACCCCTCAAGGGCATGCAACAGATGCTTGCGCAAGGAGTCACTCCAGAACATTTCAACATGATCTCCATCTGCAATGTTCCTCACAGCTGCCTCTTGACCAGGGCTAGTCTTGGCACGCAGAAGACGAAGGTAGCATAGCTCCAGGTACTTCATGGTGAAAGCTGTGTTGGAAGTAACAAAATACAGCCCACTCTTCTGAAGCTGGTTGAAGGTCATGCAATTGATCTTCTGTCCTCCAAGCCAGACAAAGTTGCAGCGCATGTAGAGCCGACATTTTGGACAATATTTGGCCTGAGAAGCAATGGCAGTGATGGACTCACTGCTGAAGAGCCGCCCTTGTGCAATACTGCGGGACTTCTTGCAAATGAGAGCGCGTTGACAAAATGAGCACTTCTGAAGGCTAGACTTGTAGATGTGAACCTTCTTCACAGGACGAGGCGTCTTCACTTGCAACTGACGAGTCTTCGCCATGTTGTCTGACTACTATGCAAGGAGACTTGGAACCCAGCACTGCAGACACAGGAAAGTGACAGAACAAGTGAGTATGACTATGAGCAAGGACATCAAGTGCAGTGATTTTGTTTTGCATTGCCTATGATGACATCCAAAGAACTGTGTTTGTTTGGCGCATTTGAAGGCAAGAGGACAACTTTTTCCTTGACCACATGAAGCTGTATTTGCCTATAGCTTGTAGACCCAATGATCTATGTTTCACCAAAATCTAAGGCTGCCACTCACTCATCACCCTCTCCAACCCCAGGGAAGCCAAAGTCATCCTGCTCTCCGACTTCAGGGAGGCCATCGGAAGCTGGAGAGGCAGCATATGAAGCAGCAAGGCATTGCGTCTTCTTTGGTTGAGGCGAAGGTGAATCCAGCTCAATGACCTTTGTATGCATCCTCTTCAATGATTGGAAGGTGCCAGGCTCCTTCTTCACCTTGACCAAGGCTGGGGCAATCTGATGCGGTGTTGGAGCAGGGCTCTGGGAAGAACATGGTGCTACACCTTGTTCCTGAACTTGAAGAACCGAAGGCGGTGGGACACAGAAGCGACCGGAGCTTGGCAGACGCGGCTTGATCTCTTTGCGAACTCTCTCTCCTCCAAAAGGACTTGCCCGTAGCACAGTTTGGATTCTTGGGATAGTCTTTTTGGTCTCCAAGCACAAACTCAGAAGATCATGGGACCACTGCCTTCTGGACATCCAATCGGTCGGAGGTGTGTTGTCTCCATCTTTCATGTTAGCAATGACCTTTTTGCCATCAGCAGAGATGAAGTCAGTGATCTGGCGGTTGTTCTCATCCTCTGGATATCGAACCACTGCAACAGGACCTTCACCAATTCCAGCTGGACGGACATAGGTGGCAAAGTCCAAGTTGACAATGAAATGTGCACGCTTGAGACAGGCCACAATGTCTTGCCTCTCAGCCTTATCAGGGAAAGCTGGAGCAATGAGGTCCAAGAAGTGACTGAACGGGATGGTGTTTTCTCCTGGCTTCAGCTTATCTTCAGCTTTGCCATTGACCCGGTTGTCACAAAGGATCCTGAGGTGGTTCTTGACAAATTTTGTGGTGGTCCACCTTTCGACTGTGTAGGCTTCCTCCAAGGAACTATCCAGGAATGCCTTCAACTTGGGCAAGGCTTGCTGGCTCATGTCAGCATCATCCAAGATGTCTGGACGCTCACGAAGACCAGGTTCTCCACGGAGCTGATCAAAGCTGGAGGCAATGCGGAAACTTGGCTGCATGTTCTCAGCCGTGTCACCGCGCAACAGCCAATATTCAGAGAAAGCCATTGCAATTGCCGAAGCAGCTGGTGTTTTCCCTGCTCCCGCATTTCCCAGAAGAACCAATGTTTTGTTCTTCATGTCTGGCAGCAAGGGAAAGATGACATCCTCCAGAAACCAGGCGCTCAGGTCATGCATGGTGAGATAGAAGTTGAAGGTGGGCTGCACAAGACATTGCCAGTGGCATACCCTTTGAGAGACTCCTTGACCAAGCTAGTGTTCCAGCCATAGATTGGGCTTCCTTCCCGGTTGACCTCTATTTCTGCCCACTCAGTCCACTGGTTGTTCATGTTGCTCCTGGGGCCCTCACTCTGGATGTAGGAAAAGCCTTGCTCCAAGGCAGACTTCTCCTTGCATTTGCTTTTGGGCTTTGCTGTGAATTGGAAAGCAAGGATGGCATAGTCGGCAACCTTTTCAAGCAGGTACTGGAAACCTTGAGAGCCTGACCGGAAATTTTTGCCATAGTCTATGGTGAAGAGATCTCCAGTAGCAACCCGCTGCAGCCCGCGCACATCAATCTTCTGGGAGAAGATGTAATGCTTCAGGACTTCGTATGTGGTGTCATTCTGCTTGCGGAAGACCAGCTGGAAAGTGAAGGGTATGGGCAGGGCATCCTTGAGGGCCAAAGGCTCTGGAAGATTCTGGTATGACTTGCTGCTGACCAGATCTGCAATGGTATCCAGCTCATCACCCTCCGTGGGTTCATAGAGCACCTTTTCAATGGCAAGGCTGTCAGCTCATACGTCGGTTCCAGCACGCGACCCACAGGATGCTCCAAGCTCGTGCATTGAAGGCACCCTGCAGCTACACACGCCTGGTTGAAGAGGTCAGCCATGATGACGACGAAGCAAAGAAAGGCAAGGCTACAGATGACAGCTGTGACCCAAAGATGACTGCTTATTTGACAGATGATGCGTTAGAGAAGGGATGAAGTAGAAATGATGTGGATTAATCTGGATTAATCCTGGGATGCAAAACTTCGAA